AAAAATACTTCTTTAAAAACATTGATTTTTTGTGTATGAACGACTTTTAATCTTTACTAAAAGTCTACCAAATTTTGTGAAGATGCACTTACTGCACTAAAAGTTATAGTATAAATACTTAACTCATGCATGTTATACTGAGCCCATCACAAAAGGGTTAATAGTCCTTGCTAACATGCTAGCCCCTGCTTTGTTTAAGTGTAAGCCATCCATTCCAAAAAAATTAACTTTCCCATTAAAATTATCCCATAAGTCCAATCAGCTTATTTTCTCATCCCTACATATTGATCTAAGCCTGACATTCAGTCCTAGTGACCGACGTAATATTTCATCCCCACAATTTATTCTTTATAGATGAAATAAGTAAATTTTCAATACCCCTACGACCTTCACAGTACCTTATTTAGTTAATATTCTACAAAAGGTTTGGATGTAATATACCAAGCCATTTTTGTTATATTCTGGCAAGAGAATAATAATTAGAAACTGGCCATTTTTAGTGGATTTTCTTTTCCTTGTAAGTGTAAAATGCATGCTTTTTTGTTATTTTTGTGCATACAACCTTAACAGTCAGTAGTTAATGTTTTAACCCGTTACCTGCCATGGCCATTTTGTCTTATCATGAGGGCAAATTCACTTTTGTGAATTGAAAAAATTATAGAGAACTTATCTTCTATTGGATTTCAGATTTTATATTTGTAAATAGTAGCATAACATTCAATTATTTGCACAAAATTGTATTATTTACTGAAGTTTAAAGAGGAATTTAATGAAAAAAATCCTAAAATACGTTTGAGACTAAATAAGCGCCCTCTAAAAAGAAAATCTTTTTCAAAATTTTTCCTTCCACTTCAGCACTGGTCCTGCCATCTATGATTGGTATCTAAACCTTTTTCTGCCTGTTTTCTTTATACAACCGTGTTAAACCTCAGTTGTAAAACTTTTAGCCAATCCTAGTTGAAAGTGTCAATTTCAGTACCATGTTATTCCAATCGCTGTATTTCACGTTTGACAAATCATAGAATGATAAGCAAAGCACGTGATGAAACATTGTTCTCTGGATTTTACAATATGAATGTGGCTGGTACACGTTATATTGACTGCCATTTTATGTAGAGGTTGTATTTAGTATTGGCCAATAGCACTTTTCTATAAGTGTTGGAAAACTTGCTTCTGGAAAAACTGCATAGGATGTACGTGACTTTTATTTTTTTTATAGTAGCTAAGTCATGCTGCATCATATATCTAATTATATTAGTCATTATATTGAAAAATTAATTCAAAATAGGTATATTTTTTAGGAAAGAAGTTGATCCACAATTGTTAGGGTTAAGAGCTATTGAGTGGCGAGTGCAAGGTCTTTATATGAATTAGGCTTAGCACTTTGAACTGAAAGAGTTTATGATTTTTTATATTCTTTTGCATTTAAATTTGTAGTTTTAAGTTCAATAATTTAGCATAATTTTATATTTAGTTCATAATAATAATAATAATGTGATTCAGTATTTAGAATGATGAACTTGTGTGATATGTACATAATACTACTAGTACCAGTACCATATAAGAATTTTATATTTTTTCTTCTTACAATCTTTACTTTGTAGTAAGACCCACACTTCTGTTGTTATTGCTTTAAAATTAAAACAGTCTAACTGATATAAAGTTTATTCTGATATTTTGCAAATGGTTTAAAACTCAGTGTACAAGTGACAACAGTAGAACTCGTATGTTGGTTGTGAAACAGACTAAATACATACGTCTCAATAATACAGGGAAGCTATGACATTCTCACAGTTGGTGTCTCAATACACTGAAGAGCTTAAATTTCGAATTCCAACATAAATCTTGTCTATAATGAGAGGAATGTGACCAGGACTAATCTTTTAAATGCTGTAAAGTAATTTTCTTTGTAATATATGATGTCTGTATCTTTTGGTAATCTCTTCTAACAGGACGTATCAAGTAATAGGGTCAGGCGGTGTTATTCAAACCATTTGTACTGTAAACTATTACATATATTCACTATTAATGGCAATTAGTTTTGTCGGTATAGTGAAACAACATACACGGACATATGTTGAAATAAACTTGTTTGAAAGTTCAAAGAAATGATATTCAAGTACCGAAAAGCTTTCTTACTATCGTATCTACAGTAATGTTGAAATGTACCTGCGCTGGACTGAACGAGAGTGACCACCAACAGGCATGATAGTTTACGGCAAATGTACAAAGTTCACGCTGATTACCTGACAATTTATTCGGCACAATAAACAAAAGTACAGCTGCAATAAAACATAAACCTAAAGAGAAATATATTTATGAAACAAAATTAAAATGTTTTTCATATACACATATATAAACATGAAATCCTAGTTAAGAATAAACGTACTCGTTTATTGTTTAGGTTTACTTAGAAATATTATTTTCGGGTCTTGTATATTACTTGAAAGCATGAGGAGAGTATGTGATTATTTAAAAAATTACAAATACAGTGGTCCCCCTCCCCTACGACACCCCTCGCCGACGACTTCCCCGCAGTTACGACTTTTTCCCGATGCACCATCAATGTTTGCATGGTAATGTCCCCCTAATGAACGACATCCCCGTAGATGCGACATACGACCGACCCATAATGACCGATATCGGTGCTTATGGTTTCTCAGTTACGACTTTCTTTGCGAGTCATGACCTCTTTAATCAACGGAGACTG